CTCTCTCTCTCTCTCTCTCTCTCTCTCTCTCTCTCTCTCTCTCTCTCTCTCTCTCTCTCTCTCTCTCTCTCTCATGCGCATGCATGCACGCGTCCTCCCTTTCACACTGCTTAACAACAACAGATGATGGATCATCCTCCTCCCGCTCTTCCTCCTCCTCGCGCTGCTTCTCCTGCTCTTCCCCCGGTTCCTCCTCCCACTCCTTCTCCCACTTCTCCTTCTCCTGTGTCGCTTCGTCTCTCTCTCTCTTTGTCGACCCCCTCAGCCCCCTGGCACCCAGCCCGGCCTCGTCGCAACTACGGCCCGCGAATTTCCCCCACGAACCGACACCCCCACACACGACCACGACCCTCCGCACTGCCCATGTCCCACTGGCACGCCGCGCGTCAATTTTCGCCCCTGACTGGCCACGTCCCGCTGGTGTGCCATGTGTCCCACTGCTGCACCATGGGCCATCTATTTTTGCTGGGCCCGGCGGGAATCGTCATGTCGGGCCCTTTGCAGCCCTTATCGTATTGAGAAGTGCCACCACCTTGAGATATCGTTGAACCAACTGCCCCCAGAATTCCGAATTATTTGGTTGCGTTCATCTAACATCTGGATTCAGACGGAGGTCTGTATTTCAACAGTTCATAGGTGTACTGAATCAGTTAGGCAATTTGTCAGATCGGAGTTTGAATCCTGCAGGGATCAGAACTGCCAAATGAATTATCAGGGCTGGTCAGTTCCATGATGCAAGGATTTTACCCTCGGCATGCCTGGATGGGTCCCCCGCTGCAAGCATGTGCCGGCCGAACCTCGTAATGCCTGAATACAGCAAATTTTGGTGGGCTCCAGACAGTTACCATGCGCCAGTTGGTTACATACTACCTGCTTGCGAGCATCAGAATCTTCAGTGAGCCTTCTAGACTCTTCTCTCTACGGTGTAGAAAGCAGGGAACACCACTCGCTTGCGCAAGGTAGTTGGGCGCGCCTAACTGCTGCGGGCCCAGGCCACTGTCTGAAGGGGCCTGGGCGCGGACACTTTGGCGCAACGTGAAGCTACTGGGCTCACACGCACCCCGGTCCAGGTAGCAACGAGCCTGGCTGCTTTCCATATAGGAAAGCACCAGGCCCAGGCAAGGCATTCGGGCACTTGGCTGGTGATGCGGCAGTGCTGCTACTTTGAGCGTTTTGGGCGCTAGCTCTAGCGCTGGTGCTTGAACGTGCGTGCGGGTGTGCGGTGTTATAGGGCACTGCAAGGGAGCAGCACCATAGCCCAGGCTTCCATAGCCCTGCTTGTGCAGACGAAGCTGGTGGGGTTCGGCGGTGGTCCTTGGATGGTGATACGACGGAGGTGGAGAAGATTGGGTGAGCATAGAGAGGGCGGGTGTGGATGTGATGTGAGAGCACTTGACTGATCCTGGCGGAGGTCTGCATGTCGCTGCTGCTGACGTCAATTGGTTGTTTTGTCATTTCTGTAGGTTAGCGAAGTAGCTGCAGGATTGTAGTCTGGGCGCTGAGCGCCAGTAGGAGGAAGAGCTTCAAGTACATTGTTGGTGGTGGCGAGAGAATGCTTTCATTGACAATTGAGTTCTCTGCTTTGGTTCTCCTTAGGTGTGATATCAGTGCATTTCTGCTTTCTGGACCGCTTACGAATATCTGGCTTTCAGTGTGAGTTTGCAATTTGGAATTCTGTCCTGTCGCTATTGCTCATTTTCCTTGCAATCTGGTATTGGAGCTGGTTCGAGCCGCTCTGCAGGCTCCGGCGGAGCGCATTAGCATATTGGTGCTGTGCTGCGTGTTTGCACGGCAGTGGAACTTGCTATGGCGCTGGCTTTGTAGGCGGTGTCGAGAGGGCGCACTTGGAACGCTATGTGGTGACATTGGGGTGTACGGTGGAGGATGAGAGCTTGCTGATGTGGCATTTAAGCCGAGGTGGAACTGCATTACATTGTGGGTTGTGCCGAGGCACTGACTGGTCATCATAAATGCACGCCAGGTTAACTGGTGAAAAATCTGTGGTTGGGGGCAGCATTATGAGGTACGTTGCTCCTTACCTTATCTACCCTCTTCGTCGCTTCTTACTGTGAGGAACTGCGTCTTGGTCTTGAGAGTCCTCTCATTGTGCGGTGTCATGTGCGCTCAACCTTGAGAGTCGACATTCTTCCTGGGGAGCATGCTGGTGCCTCTGAAGGGCCCTGGACGAAGCACTTGGGTCATGTTTACCATGCCAACCCACTGGGAGTAGAGCATGCATGCTTTACTGCTTTGCCCTTTGGTCTGCTTTGCT